AATACCAATATAACTTTTCACTAATCAAACACAAACATGGGAAATTATCAAATTGGCATCTTCAGCAGTTTTAACGGAATTTCACTGGCAATTCTAGTGTTAACATCTTTAAAGAAAGTACTTATAAAGTTATGTATTTAGAAAAAAGAAAAAAATGGATATTATTATTTAGCTTCCTAGTATTTCAAAGGAAAGATCCAATCGTGTGTTTTAAGGATTAATGCTGCGATTGTATTATTTTACGATGATTATTAAACAAGACTAACACGAGTTTTCCGAGAATATTTGTGATAAATAAAATACGACACATAGCGCAGGTTCTAATGGATTCGCATCGCGTGTCACGCTTCTGGGATGTTTCCCCGTTAAGTCACGTATCTTTCGCAGTCGTCCACGTCGTATGTTGCGGCCTTTTTCAAGAGTATATAACGATTTACCGAGTCCGAATGTAGAAAGAGCAACATGGGCGCGAATCGTCCTCAGAGAGAAATAGAGATAGATAAAGACGGCGAGGAAGATACAGAGACGGAGAGGCCTTCTGCCTTCCCGAGACCTCCTAGGAAATTGACATTTGCGCGAAGGGCCCATTTACCCTAGAAACCACACTTTTTTTTTTCCACTGCCACTTACAATAAGAGTAAAAATTTATACAAGTTCTCCGTTGACGATCGAAGGATCCTGGCTGTTTTTTTTCTTCGGATTCGATGATGCCGCGTATCATCGAGGGTTGATCAAAATCGGACGAATTACTGTTGAGAGCCAACATCAAATGGTTATGAAGTAACTTTATAGTTTTTTACTTTGCATTTTTGATTCCCGCCTCGCTGGAAATAAAAACAAAGTACTAAGTACATAAAGTAAAAAGTTACAAAGCTCCTTCGTAGCGCAGAACATATAAGCAGATGTTATTTCTTCGGGATTCTTCTAAAAAAAAGAGCAAAGAATTAAAAATTGAATCAATATCGGAAAGCATAATAGTAATTACGATAAATGAATGGAAATAAGTATAATTGTTATCTGTCGTTCAAATGTGTTTTGGTTATCAAGAAATTGAGAATGGAAGATTGATAGAATTACTGGGACTTTATAAATGGCTATCCTCTTCACTTAGGCGTTTAGAATCTAATTCAGTCGCGTTTGCCATGACAGTCCAGTGATCGATCGGAAGAGTATCAATAATTTCCGCATGTCCCTCTCCATTTACGTGTCATCTACGATCGTCGCGATCGATCTTATGACGAACGCGAACGCAGGTTATGCATACTTTTATATCGATACGGTGTTATTTTATCACAAAATAGAGATAACAGAGCGTAAACGTCTCTGTTTACATGCAATCTGAAATATATCTCGTGGCAAACGTATATAAAATTTATAGAAACTGTAAAAGTCGTCGAGCATCAAAATTTGTAATTTTTCTTGACAAGATTCTAAAGAAGAGAGCTTTATATAAAATTCTGAGATTTAACTAACGTACAAACATTTGTATTGCTATTTGTTCCATATATAGTAATAAGTATGTCTTCTAAAAATTTTTCTAATTTAATTTGATTATTAATTCTGAGAGAAAAATTGTACATAGCAAGAAAAACTATGAGATGATGAGATTAATTAATGTCAAATGATGTTATTACATTTTGCGAGTTTCAAGCAATTTCGTGAAATGATCTGAAAAATTGAGCGTCCAATTATACGTGAAGTATAAACACAATTGCTGACAAATATACTCGGCTTCTTATTGACAGCCAGTTATATTTTACTTTAAATCAATGACGTACTTTAGTGTAATACTGTCGATCATCGGTAACTGTCATAGCTTTCGAGTTAAATCAACAAAACAGCATGAAAACGTCAATCTTGGTTGACGTTTCATTAAAACGTCAGTCGCCGCACACGTGGTGTATCAAAGTCCAAGTGCGTATTACATCGCGCGGGAAGAACTCTTTGTAAAAGTTACTGTGATGAGTTCTGACTTTCAGATTTTTAATAATACGTTTCAAGCTTACGACAAGCTTTATCACAAATTCTGCGAAATTAGACAAATTAATTTTCGTCGCGTGCCGGGGATATATTGTTCGAGGGTGAGGTGACGACATCGTTGTTTTTACGATTAAATCGTGACCCCGTTCCGAGACAATAGACATTTGCATTCACATGCATTCGGCCTCGCATTGCGGGAGGATATCCTGCGTGACTTATGTAATCCAAGGCCGTCGCGAATAAAAGGTAGCAGTCAGTGTCGATTGACTGACCGCCACTGTCGCCGCGGCTATCACTCTGCTCTACCGCGCTTGTATCAATTATCGAACGTATATTGAAAGTCGGAAACCTGTATGAAATCGGTCCCGATAAACTCGAATCCCCGTATTCGCGGCTTAATGCAGGTATAAAATGCCGGCGTATCTTGCGCTGGCAGACTCATTGTCGACTTGCCGAGAGAGTATACGATCTCTCTCCGTGGATGATATATCGTGGTATTATCAAACTCGCAAAGTTTGCATGGATTGTTTTGGGATATCTATATATACGTAATAGGTACAAACTGCGCATTCCTATATAAAGTTGTCATACTATCAGCTCAGAAAGAGTGAGGTAGCTTATTTTCTCTCTCTCTCTCTCTCTAAACCACTCTAAAGTGTCGAGTTGAAGAGAAACATTGGTGTAATTCAATATAGAACTTTAAATGTAAACAAGAGTAGTACAAACAATCGCCATTTTAATCTCAGAGTCGATTGTGTATCTTGAAACAAGTTAAAAACAATAACAGTGAGCAAATGCATTAGGTGCAATAAAATTATAAATATTCTAGTATAAATTCGTTCACTTTTGTAATTTTCATCCCATTTCAAGATACACAATCGATCCCCTAATCTACATTAGAAACGAATTATGTTAAAAATCAATGAGTGCTCATTTGACGATAGATTGATTAGATCCAAAATGGCAGTCGAGAAAAGGGAGCCAATAAGAAAACGCGATTGTCGACATTCGCAGATAAAAGGATTGCACTATTCTTAATATCTAGAGCTCTAAATTCAGTATATTGCGTTCTCTTCCTAATGGAGCACATTTACTAAGGTCACAGGCAATGCGCAGTCGGTACTTGTTACATTTCTCTTTTCATGGGTATATCCATCTCTTTGAAACTCGAGCGATGCGATTTTAAATAACGATGGTAATTTGGACAATATATATATTGATTACAATTGACGGAAGGGTATCAGTTTTGAAAAAAAGAAAAAATTTCTCGGTGAGATAATCGAATTGAAATCATGGAATTATTACAAAATGCCTACCATAGGGTCATTTTTTCCAAATATCGGTTATTATTAAATGGTTCGGATTTGAGTGACTCTTTCAATTAAGAGCGAATATCGATTCGCAACATACGCAACGATGCAATTTTTTTTGTCAATGTGTTGAATTTTATGCGATTCATGTTACCGCAAAAGCTGGAAACTTTTATCCCGCGAGTTATGATATCTCAAAAGCCACCCATTTTACGATCTGCGCGAGCAAAAGAAGCTTAATATTATTAATAGAATGAATAATTATTATCCGTAAAAGAGCTTGGCGTAAAAAACGTATATGAAAAGAGAACTGAATGGAAACATATTTTTCTCACGCTTGATACTGCAAATTCGTAGTCATGTGGGCGTACTTGATGAAAGAATCATTATCTATGTGCATTAGATGGTTTTATAACACTCATGAGAAGTTAATGAGAGTTTTTGCGACGTAATAAACCCTTAAAACGTCATTGTGTGCAGCGAATATTAGCGACTGGTCGGACCTTATTTTGTTGGTAATAGCATCGTAGTAAAAACTTTTATTTCAGCTTATCCTGTTCTTACGAGGGTATCATATAGTTGACCAAAGTTACATTTTAGTAATCCTCTTAAGATCGAACTCTTGCGGGAAAGGAAAGCTCTCCCACCTCCTTCCTTCTAATTTTGTGTCTGATCAATAACGACGTGTGTCACTTTACGTTTTGCTCTCCTGTTAAATGTATTAAAACTAGAGGAAGCGTATGTATGAATAAGAGAAATAAATAACGAACATATAGGAAATAAATAAAAACGACAAAAAAATAAATATTTGTTTGTACACATGACATGATAAATACAATCAAGGGTTCTATTCTGTAACTCTTAACGATTGTAACTGTAACGTTACAGTCGTTAAGTGTCTCTAAATAATATATTCAAACTCATCTCTTTGAGATAACTTTTCATTGAAAAATGTTTAAAGAGAATCTCAATAAATGTTAATACTAGCGTTTCTCTCCAAAATGTCATAACATATGTATTTATGCCGTATTACTTTTCATGTGCAAGGCCATGTGAAATGAAACATAAACAGCAAATAAATAATAACAGTACGAGTTGAAGTATCTTTCTTTTGATACTACACAAGTTTGATAAATTCACGAAAAAGCACGTATTCTATTTTCAGAATATTTTTGTTTTTTATATCCCAGAATTTATCCATTGGTGAACAATATTTTACATGTAAAAAAAATACACAATTCATAAATCTCAAAAACAAATCTTTTTGTAGAGAATCGATTTTCCTACAGGCGTTTTGGCAACGTTTGGGAAAGTTAGTCGATCACCCGGTAGATTCCAGATAACGTGGAATCATAGCGCTTTTGGTTTACCGCCAGTATACGCTTTAATTTTAGTTTAACCTACTCTTTGTCTCTTTCCTGGAATTCGCATTAGAGAGAGGTGAAGAGAATCAGTTGAACTTAAATTAAGATTGACGTTTGCAAAATTATCTATGAGGAACTTAAAAAGATGCATCAAAACTTACAAATTGACTCCAATTTTTGCTACTTAAATTCGAAAAAATATATTTTAAATTATTTGCTTTAATTCTTACGAGTAGATATAGTCCTTATTAAAACGATGTCACAAAGACACCGATCAAAAGATTGGAAACGTCAGACGTTTTCAAATGTCTGTCTTTATACGTTTTTGGACTTTTAAATGTGTCACTTAAATGGACTCATTTTTCTATCATCGAAAATCCAATCAACATTAATTGTTAGTTGAGTTAAACAGATAAAAAGAGAGAAATCCTTCGACCGTCGTGGGAGAGCCACGCGGCTCTTTCGCTTCGCGTTGCGGCACGGTTTTTACGAAGAGATCCCGAAGGACTGACTCGAGACCGTGTTCTTAATATCCGGAGACGTTTAATGGCGAGACCCGCACGAAGGGGAAAAAGATCTCAGGCCGGTGAGGGCGATGGCGCAAAACGCCACGCGCTCGCATTTCGCGTTTCTCAGGAATTCGCGGAGAAACGTAGCAGCGACGTGTTGACGCCGCGCGAATCAACGCAAGAACGACGATTGTCCCCATCGTCGTCTTCTCAAGAATCGTCGGCTGGCATTTTCCCGTTCCAAACGTCGGGAAGCCAGGCCGACCCGGGGGGCTGTCAACATCTCGCAAGATCGAGGGCGATCGCGTGCGTGCCGGATCCTCGGGACTAGGACGACTAGGACTTGGCCTTGTCGCTCTGTGCTTTGTCGAAGCCGTCGATCAGCGTTTCGATGATGAACTTGATCGTCAGCTTATAGATGTTCTCCACATTTTCCGAGTATCGGTCCTCCAGCGTACGTTCCACCGCATCCAGAAACGGTTTTTCGATTTTCTGAAAATAGAAGAATATCCAATCACGTATAAACTACATTTTTGTTAATGTACTTTTAAAATAATTGTATTAATTATTTAATAAAAAAATAATGTTTTTTGGATGATTTGGGTCTGTATTAAAATTAAAATATATTATATGTTATTACATTTGGTATATATTTTATTATTATTTATTCTTGATTCCTATATTATTCTAAGACGGGGAAGATAATTCTAGGATGGAAACAACTTTCATGACAGCGTAACATCCGAGATTAGTGCAACGCGACACAGATACGGAAATAATTTTCAGGAAAGCAAAAGCCGGCACTCTGTACCTCTCTTCCTGGATTTAGAACAGTTGATTGCCTACACATTGCTAAGCGTACGATACAAGAAGAGCAGGATTTTATGTCATATTGAGAAAAAAATATCTTGATACTAAAAAATAGGCTAGATCCATCAAATCGAAATAATGATTGTTTTGTATTAAGTAAATTATTTTGATACATTCAGTGGATTATAATAGCTTATTTTTTAATATCAAGATATTTTTTCTCTCAGTGTAAAAAATGTTTCAAGTAAATAATGATTCAGTAATTATTTTTAGTGTAATGTTGAAGTGAAAATATTAAAAATATTTTTCTAAAAAAAGAGCTGAGAGATCAATTTTGCGAATTTTATATCTACTTTTGTAATTCTTTTTTTTTCCTATTAAATGATCTGACACGTCATTTGTAAGCAATAATAAATCTCTAGTAAAATGTTTCGTTTGTTTGCTTTATATTTATTTTAAGCTTTGATGAATCGAAGCTATGAACTTTCTTGGGTCGCGTAAGAAGATAATATCAATACGGCGAATATTTAAGCCTCGATCCATTTTCAGCGGCGTGGTCGCCAACAATACGAGGACTGGCGATTGCATCGACGATTGTATAGCGATCGTCATATTCACGGTTCACAATAGACCTTGTAGGATTGTCCGATAGGAATTATCAATCCTATACACAGTGACTAAGTCACGGGACTTACATTAGATAGGAAAGGAAGGCAAACCGGATTTGATTTCGTGCCAAGAGATTGAAACCGTGGCAAACATTTCACACAGCGAATAAATGCGACGTTCTCTGTAATGTAAACCTTCAACCTTCCTCGCATTGCGCAGATAACTTAACTTTATATCTATCTGACAATGAGACATAAAAACAAACTCAGAATTATGTCAATGCTAAAAGCTGCATTTTAGGAAGAACTGAGTTGTCTTTGATTGAAATTAATTTCTGAAAATGTCCCTTGCGTGAAATATATTATATTATAAATATCTCATTGTGATTAACGGTCTACTTACATATAGAATTATATCTTATTTTGACAATATACCTAATATCATTTTTTCATCTTAAAATTAATTTTACTTCAATAAAATTCCTTCTATCTCCATTTTTAACCACATTTTTAAGCATTCTTATGCCTTTTTCTATATAATACCTTTATTCCTTTTCTCTAGTGAGAAGAAAAAGCGACGCAGAAAGAAGCCCCCAGCACGACTTCCTTCTCACGTGCACAAAGAAAATTCCGTTCCGATCGTCGCGAAAGTAATAAAGAAAACTTGCATGCATATGCGAGAGGGAAACGTTATTACTTTTGCGTACTGCATTAAAGTGCCCTTTTAACAATTTTTTCTTTTTGACACACGTCACGTGGATTATTATTTTTTATCGTCCTTGCATTCTATCTGTTAAGATGTGTATATATATTATTAGATTGATGTATATATTGTTATTTAAAATTAAAAAATTTAAATTTATTGTTACGTATGCAACATTATTTTTCCGCAAGCTCAATGATGTTTTTTTATTCTTCTGATTGAAAAAAATTAAATTGGTAATTTATACGAATTTACTGATACATTAATTTATTGATACATAAAAAGGAAAGATTTATTGCATGAATCAAATTGACGCATGTTTTCATTCAAATAAACATCAAGATTATCGAGAAAATCACATATATTCAATATAACGAAATGCCAGTCGATTTTGTATACGATTATATTAATGCAATCGTATTGGGAAAATGCATTCTCCCATTAAAATGTAATTAATTTAATGAATTCGACATTTGTTTGTATACTTGTTTGTGCATGGACAGCTATCAAATTTATTCAGCCAAGCAGAATGATTAAGTGTATAATGTTTGATTATATATATAATATATATAGTTAATCGAACGTCGAAATTTCCAAAGAATTTTCCTCACTTCAATCATAGCAAGAATGTGATTTCATGCTGTTTAATTATAAATCGTTTCGTAGCGTACCGATTTATATTTCAACATTATAACCAACTCGCATGCCAGAAGTGTTATGACCAATTTTTATGTTCTACGTATGAAGTGTTTTCAACTGCCAGGATCGTAAATAATATTATGGAATATTTACAAGTGTCCTACACGAAAAGAATTATATCTTAAAATTTATCCTGAAAATATCGTAATCGTGGGGTATGTTAAGCACCTCAACTATAGTACTCAGGTGTTTTGATTAGAGTTTCCACTTCCTTTTGACGAGACGAAGAGTTCCCTATAGTTAATAACAAGAGTTCAATAAACATTTTTTTTACATTTTTTAAAAATGGGGTGCTAACTTTTATCGAATTTCGAGGTGGAATAGTTCTGAGCGACTTAATAGCTTCAATTTGCGATTGCCTAGAGTTCCTGATAAGTAAAAAAAATTTTCGAATAATAAAAAAAAAATTAAAAATTTTTTAAAAATTAATCGCTTTTCCATCTTACAGTTTTCGATAGAACTCGTCGAGTACTATAAGAAACGCTACTCAGAACTACTCGGTACTCTCGAAAAAATTTTCAAAGATTTCCACTATTTTTTTTAAACTTTATTATATTTCAAAAATGTTTTTTATGTATCAAGAACTCTAGGTAATCTAGGTATTCACAAAATAATTCTGTTAAGCTGATCAGAACTATGCGACCTTGAATTTCGTTAAAAAGTTAGCACCCCATTTTTAAAAAATTATTAAAAAATGATTATTAAGCGCATATATCATTAAAAATCATAGAGAACTCTTGGTATTGTCAAAAAGAAGCAGGAATTATCATCAGAACTATTGTATCTAAAAATTAATTTTTCAAAAATTTTTAATTTTTTTTTATTGTTCGAAAATTTTTTTTACATATCAGGAACTCTAGGCAATCGCAAATTGAAGCTATTAAGTCGCTCAGAACTATTCCACCTCGAAATTCGATAAAAAGTTGGCACCCCATTTTTAAAAAATGTAAAAAAAATGTTTATTGAACTCTTGTTATTAACTATAGGGAACTCTTCGTTTCGTCAAAAGGAAGTGGAAACTCTAATCAGAACTCCTGAGTACTATAGTTGAGGTGCTAACTTAACATACCTGTTCGTGGGACAATATTATATTTCGAAGAATTTTTATGTAAATCTCTCACATTCATTAAATAAAACTACAATAAAATATAAAATAAGTATGATTAATTTTACTGAAGTGCATGATAAAAATCTTTAAATTGATTGTATTGTACCATAATTACTACATTTTCAGGGTAAATTTTAAGAAATCCTTCTCTCCGTGTATGAGTAACGACTATCCTTTTAGATGTCTCCGTTAGCACGAATCAAATCGAAGTCACGTATTATTCTGAATTTGTCTCTCTCTCTCGAAATAGCATTCGTGTATTTTACGAAGCAATGAAAAAATTTGTATCAATGTGTCTATATCAAAAGAATGTTGCAATAAAAAAATATTCGTACAGGGTTTTTCTGCAAAAGATTAAATACTAAAATGAAATTTTAGTGTATTTATTCTTCACGATAATTATTTTATCACCGTTCTTAAATCGTTAAACGTAGAACATAAAAAAATGAATCTTTTCTTTTTAGATATCGCGCAGGATAGCAACGCAAGCAAAGCAAATGGTGGATACCAGCTGTGCAGTGGATTATGAAAAACTATGAGATAACAAAACACCAACGTATTATACCTAGTGATGTTGCGAGATGAAATCTCAACATTTGTTATTCAATCTCTCCTGCAGCAAATTTTTCTTTTTTGCTATAGGAGGCATAAATTTCGCGAAAAAAGTGTAATGCGAACGATAAAATGTTGGATAAAAAATCGTATAAAGCAGTACGAGCTCATAATAAATCCGTCCACTCTGAATTCTAATTTATACTAACCAAGTCAGCAAGATTGTAATATTTTTTAAATAATAAATTTGATATTACTTATTTAATTAAAAATGGAATATATTATCAAGAACATAAATTATTTATTTGTCAATTTAATAAATAGAAACGTAAATTTAAAAAAAGTGCAAAAGACTGTAAGATGATTTCATACGAATAAGAAAATGTGTTATAAAAATTAAAGGTCCAAACATTGTGAGGAACGCAACAAAAGTTCGTTTCACATTTACGTCGCGCGAGCGTCGTTATACTTTAATTGTGCATAAATCTCTTGCTCTGAAATAGTTTACAGTGTCTCCCAAAAGTTTTCAGTTTAGTCTCTTTGATTTCCATGTTGCGAGAGATAAGCGCGGCACAAAGAGAAAATGTTCGTCAAGAGATGGGAGGCGTATTTCTCTCTCTCGGATGAGTGAGAATTTTCGCACGCTTTCCCGGTATATACTGAGATAAATTACCTATGTTCTGATATGTGAGGTAAATCTAACAAGCTAGTTCACGCAAAAATATATATTTTTTTTGTAGAAAGTGATACAAATGTAAGTATTTCAAGTATTCTGATAAGAAAAACTAATTACATATTATATTATCGAAGAGTTACCTCAGATAATCTATCAATATTTTATCACATAAGGCAAGTCTAACTGACTTACTCTAAAAAAAAGTATATATATATACACAGAAAAATTTCGCTGTAATATCTAAAAATTTGGCTAGATTGGAAAATAATTTCATTGAATTATCGTACACAAAATAATTATATAGGATTCAAGTATAATGAGCAATGTTGTTAAAAGTTTTGACATTCTAGTAACAAATTAGAGCTACATAATTATTCTAATAGTAACAAAATTATTAAAATTATTTTCAGATCTTCTTGCTAAACTTTTAAATACTTCGATGAAAGCGTTTTATCCGTGTAATGATGAAAGTTAAATATAAAAAGTTTTTTAAACAATAATAAATATTGCAAAGTATTTTGAATTTCTAATTTAACGATAAGACTAATTATATTATTACTGAAAACTGTCTTGATTAAGAATATATATACAATTAGTTAATTTCTAATTTCGAGTTCAATCTTACGAATATTCTTAATGTACGTACATTTTATTGTGCACGTTTAACAAGACAGACAAAAATAAATACTATCTTTATAAATTTAAGATAATATATTTTTTTAGTTCATCGAATGTATATATTTTTGCAGGAATCTTATATATTAAAGCTAACCTTGTACTTAAATACATCGCCTTATTTTCTCCCTCAGCCATATTACAAATTATTTTCTCGCCTAATTAATAGTTTGATAACTAGGACACATCCATTGTGTATTTATGTCGCGTATGAATTATTACAAGATTCCGTATTAAAGATTTGCGTTTTCTTTCGAGAAGAACTCACCCAGAAATATTGTCGGTTGAATCCAGGGATCTTCGTGTGAGAGGCCCCGACCTCGTGAAGGTACGTCAGGAACGCATCCATGTCGTCCAGGCTCTTGATACCTTCGTCGAGGGTGGTCATGACCGTTTTCGCGTGCTCGGCCAGTTCCATACTCGTAGATTGTTGCTCCTTTGTCTTTTGATCCCGAAACTTCGTGAACATATTTAGCAATTCCGCATTCTCTTCAAATAACCTGGAACCACACGGTGTATGGTATCATTAGAGAAGTTGTGAAGACACTAATAGTTGTGCAATATCGCAATATGTGATAAGAAGTTATATAATATACTAATGATTGTTTCTATCAAAATTCAGTCAAATAAATATCGTGGGTTATTTCCGTATCTTGCATTATTAAATTCCAACATTTCGTAAACATTGCAGTTCACTAAGTTCACTTCATCAGGGCGAGAAGAAACCTCATAGTCATAAATGCATGTTGGAGTAAAAATTTAAACAAAATGTGTTTAAAAATAGATTTAATAAATATTTATTTATGGATTAACGTAACTTGCGGTTTAAAATATGCAATCGTTAAAGATAGCTAATCTTTTGGAAAAACAAGTTGAAGAAGCAAGACATTTTTGATTAAAAATTCAAAAGAAGTGAGAAGTTGAAGCAAAGAAGTGAAGCTAAGTGATTAAAAAAACATTGAACATTTTTGATAAGCATAAACTTTGTTCAACAAGAACCATAAATTTCAAACTCAGTTCTTTGATAGTCCGAGATAAGTTTTTTTTTTCGTCCTAATTTTCTCCAACTATATTTGACAAGTCTCAAAATATTTCTCACACACAAACAATCTGCATATAAAAATTTATCCAATTCCTTCAAAATGTCTGATATTCCGCGATATTTTCTGACGATATTTTTCACTGCAGAAAGGCAACCATAGAGACAAAACCGAGTAACGCACCTTGAATTCTAAAGCTCTACGTTATCTAACGTTGGCATACATCTACCACGAGAGAAATCGATTGCTAGGTAAAGGTGCGCTATTTGTTTCAATCCTAACTCGTTCGTATTTTGTTTGATTTCTTCGGGACATTTTATTTTCCTCTCTCTCATATGACACACGATACTTAATGTAATAGATAAAAATATAACCATCGATTTTATATTTAGCCCTGAAGAAGCTCAAAATAATATAAGCCTGGTGTTTACCAGAATGTTCACTCGTAAGTAAATAAGAATTTAATAAAAAAAAAATTCGTTGCAATATTCGCGCGCATAGTTTTCTCTTTCTTTTTCTCGTATCAAAATTTGATTAACTTTTTCTCTTCAAGTTTTGTAATCGTTGAAATAACGAGTTCACGTGGGCCTCGTTATAGCAGCTCGACAAAAATGTTTTTGTTTCGTGGATGGTAGGTTGCTCTTAGCCATTCATGAAATACCTCTTTGTACAACGAGGCATTCCAATCTCGCGCTTGTCTATCTAGGGAAAAATGTACGCGCAAGGGGGAAAATGTAAACATAATTATTTTATCTTTGATGGTTTCAACAGTTAATAACTGAGCGCCGCATTTTAAAACCTGCATCAGACCATGTATTGGAGATTGAGAATTGCGAATTGGAGATTAGAATTCGACAGATATTCAATCAGATAAGTTTAATTTTAATCTGTTTCATTCCAGAGTTGAATTTTAATCTTTATTTTACAATTTTTTATCTCCAATGCATAATCTGTTACAGATTCAATGCAGATATGCACTGTATACTTCTCTTTTCAGTCTGTAAAATATAATGTTTGTTATTACCTTTTCATATTTTGCAAACAATAGAATATGACAAAATAATAAAATTTTTGTCTTCATGATAACATAATGTACATATCTACTTATATATACAGAGAAAGAGAGAGAAAAAAAGAGAAAGAGAATATCTCTATATATTATATTTATCTTTACTTAGCAAATTTTTTCTACGTGCGTAAAAATCGCAGAACATATAATTAAGTACATAGATAATAAAATGTTTTGTCTAAATATATTTTACGACACAAGAAAGATGTAAGAAACAATTTTTTATTAATATCTCGTTCCAATAATGCATGGCAAAATTAATCAGAGCGTCTTAGAAGTTTGATGTTGTAACTTCAGCGACTTAAAAAAGTGTCGGAAAAAAATCGCGAGATCGTCGATATTCAAATTAGACCTATATTGCGTCAAGATTATTCAACGCGCGTATTTCTCTTTCGCGTCCGTATAAATTATCTTTCTCGAAGGAAAATGACATTTCGCACGGTATCTGTCCGTCGTGATTTTTCACGGCGTGCAAACTCGTTACACGTCGGCTACGGCACAGCGCAAGTTTTATTTGATCTCAACGAATAAATGTTTACAAAGAAACAAAAATGAGTGCGCAAGGTCTTGCAATTTTGTGAACTCCGTAAATTTAAGTATAACATATGAAATACCCTCCCCGAGGAGATCGTTCGTGAATGCATAAGTAAATAATGCATCTTTCATGGGTCGGGTATAAATTTAAGTAAAGAAAACTCCGAAGAAATATTTTATTTTTTATTGCTGTTAATTTAGATTTTAAGTATACGCCATCCGTGCATAATTAATAGATATGCAACAAATAAAAATTCTCGTGAAAGTTATATTTTTAAAATGGAGTGACATGTTATTTTTATTTGAGAACCTTTCATTTTGATGTTGCAATAATTGCAATTACTATTGCAATATTAATTTGTCCCATGTATAATTATCAAGGATTGAACCTTTGACCATAATTATGCACACCAATGCCTACTAATGCCCAGTAATGTCCAAGTAATCGCCAATTTTTGTGCCCTATTAATGCCCTTGTAATGCCCATTAATGCCCTAATAATGCTCTACAATGCTCAGTAATGCCTAACCTCCATACCGCTTATTATAATATATACACAATTCTCCTCTAAAGTGTAATGCCTCAAATCTGTACATTGCAATATCCTCAGAGATTTATCCCTTAATAATTATTTTTAAAATTGTACACTGTAACAATGTAAAATATATGTACAATTACTTTTTATAATTGTTTGTTGAAAGTTTTATTCTTTTTATTCATATTACATTAATAATTTTATTCTCAACTAAAATTCAGATAAATTTCCTAATTTTTACATAAATATGAAAAAAAATATATATTCCTTATCTCCCCCTCATAAAGAGACATATGTCACGTAATAATTGTGCACATATGACAGTTGAATCATGATATATGTAAATCGAGTCTCGCTCTTATTACACAATTCATCGTTATCGTTGCCCATGTTTCGTGCATATGTTTCATAAATCTCTGCGGATTGATGAGTTACGATTAAATATGGAAATCCTAGAGAATCCTATATTTTATTGTGCCGTCAGTTTCTGACATGTTAGGATGTATGTACATATATATTTAAGCAATAACGAATATCTACTAAATCTTGATCAAACTCCGATCAATTCGAATTGAATTTCTTTTGTTATCTCCGCTTTCGGAGCAAAAAATACTGTAATTTACGATATTCTCGAGTTTCAGTTGATACACGGATTGCTCACGTTTTAAACAATGCGTAAAAACAGGTGATTTCAGGTCAAAGACGAGGGTTAAAGAGCGCGTAAAAGCAAATTTGCATGTAAGTTACCGCGATGCAAATGGGATCGACGTGACTGAAGAGACCGACGGGCGTAAGTATTGACCGGGTACGATAAAATATTTTTAAATGCGGCCTCCCAACGGGCAATAAACGGTATGACGGTACCCGCTCGACGGTATAAGTTCGACGGGTTCTTATCGTCTAGGAACGGATTGAAAAGTTTCGTATCGGAAATCCATATTCTCCCCCCGTAAAAGATGCTTAAAACCGACGAGAAACAACGATACTGCTGTCGATTCGGCGCGCGCGCGATGTCAGCTTTTCCACTGTGCTGCTCCCATAATCCGATAAAAAAAGCAACCCTAATGATCGATACGACGACGAGTAATTATCAACATTGCATTGAACATTGATGCCAATGCCTCGTTGCAGCCGTTTTGATATCTACAATGGTATATATGTGGGCGGTCGTATATTTTTTAATACAATTTTTTTCGAATTTAAGCATCCGTCAAAATGTTAAATTTAAAGATACTATCAAATTTGTTAATTGTAAATTCTGATAAATAAATTTAAATCTAAAGAAAATAAAATATAATGCAACTTTTATGATAGTAAAAATTCATTGTTAAAGCTTTCACAAATATGTAAGAAATTTTTCAGATTTTTGTAGTCCGGAACAATATAAAAATCTGCATGTAAAATTTAAAGTTAGATAGTGGACAAAGGGTAAAAGTTTCACATTGTTAATGGAAAGTTAATAAACAAAAAAAGGACAAACATAAAAAATAATCATTAAAATGCTATACTTTTTTAATACTCATAAACAGATAAAGATGTGAGATAAGAAATTTGAGATATTCAATTCCGATCAATTCTCTTCAAGAGTCAAATGCAGTAAATTAATTTGACTTTAAGTGAAAACCTCCAAAGGACGTACCCTATATGCCCGGATATTAACACGTTCGAACAGGCGCGATAAAATTAATGCCTTGTATTTCCATTAAGGTAAACCCGCGGCGAAATCCAGCCGCGAGCAACAACGCCTTCAACCGTTTTCTAATTACGCGAGGAAAACCAAGCTTTAAGATCATTATAATGAATAAGTCACACCCGACTTAAATTCATTGAGAAAATAAACAGATTACGAAAGAGTGTTCGCTGGTGTTAATAAATGACGTATACATTTACATAGATTTATTTAAATTATTAAACGATCTCGTAATTTTATTTTTTATTAAATATTATTATATGTGATCCTATCCATAGTACATATCATAAAATAAAATATAAAATATTGTATGATGATTAATTATTCTAATTGATCCGAATAATACATTGTTAATAAATAAACATTTATTATATTTCTCTGATACCAAAAAGAATAAACTATATTTTCGGTGCACAGCGAGATGTTACTTTGTAGATACTGGAACTCGAATACATTAATATATATATAATGATCAAATATTATACGTGTTAAATAAATATATATATATATTATTAGTAATTTAGTAATGTAGTGTGTTTTATTGTATTAAAAGATAAATAATCATTTATCAAATCCTCTGATTTAAAAAAAGTAATATACTTGTATTTCAAAGCTTACGCACATTTATAAAA